GATAGAAAAAAGCAAGCAAACAAGAACCTTATAGACTTTTCTGTCTGGGCTGACTTTGACTCATGATCCTCAGAATCTCAGTCTCCTGAGTAGCTAGGATTTAAGGTGTAAGCCACTGGCACCTGGTTCATTCATGTATCTTTTGTTCACTATGTCCTGTGTAGACCTTGGTACTAGACACTATGCTAGCTTTAGAAACATGGTGAACAGGACATGGGCAGTCCCTGGGAAGGCCAAATGGAGAAGGAAGTTAAGATTAAATGATGTCAGGTATGCCAGATACCAGTGATTCAGGCCTGTAATCCTGGCTACTTTTGAGGCTGAGATATAAGGATCACAGTTTGAAGTCAGCCTGGATAGTAAAGTATACGAGACTTTTTTTTGTTGGGTGGTGATCATGGCACTTGAACTCTGGGCCTGGGTGATGTCCCTGCACTCTTCAGCTCAAGGCCATAGCGCCACTTCTGGTTTTCTGGTGGTTAATTGGAGCTAAGCGCCTCACAGACTTTCCTGCCCAGGCTGGCTTCAAACTGCAATCCTCAGATCCCAGCCTCCTGAGTAGCTAGGATTACAGGCACGAGGCATGGGTACCCAGCTATGAAACTCTTATCTCTAATAAACTACCCAAAAGTGCAAAAGTGAGAACTGGAACAGTTGCTCAAGTGGTAGAGCACTACTTTGAACAAAAGAAGCTCAGGGGCAGTGTCTAGCTTCTGAATTCAAGCCCCAGGACTGGCACATACACAAAAAAGTGCACACACACACACACACACACACACACACAAACATATCAAGTAGCTGGGTGCTGGTGATCACATGATCAAAGTATATTCCATACATGTATGAAAATGTCAGAATGAAATCTATGATTTTGTAAATTAATATCCACTGGTAAGAATTAAAAACACCAAAAAATTAAACTTATAAAAGGAAAAGAGAGCCAGGTGCCAGTGCCAGTCCTGGGGCTTGAACTCAGGGCCTGAGCACTGTCACTGAGCTTCTTTTTGCTCAAGACTAGCACTCTACTACTTGAGCCACAGTGCCACTTCTGGCTTTTTCTGTTTATATGGTACTGAGGAATCAAATCCAGGGCTTCATGTATGCTAGGCAAGCATTCTACCATTATTCCCAGACTTTTGTTGTTTTTTTTGAAACTGATACATGGTAACTCTATGAATTTCTGGAGTGGAGTGTGGACTTTTCACACATGTATATGATTTGTAACATTCAGCATTTAAAGAAGAAACCTAGCCTGTCATTGGTGGCTCAGGTCTGTAATCCTAACTACTCAGGAGGCTGATATCTGAGGATCACAGTTCAAAACCAGCCCAGGCAGGAAGGTCCATGAGACTCTTATCTTCTGTCAACCACCAGTACACTGGAAGTGGCACAGTGACTCAAGTGGCAGAGCGCTAGTCTTGAGCTGAAGAGCTGAGGGACAGCGCCCAGGCCCAGAGTTTAAGACCCCTGACTGACAAAAAATAAAAAGGAAAAGAGAAGCTTATGACTACGTGGGTCTAGAGTTGGCCTAGTTCAGAGATTCAGGACTGAGAGTCATCGATTTGGAGATACAGTATAGTAGTTGTCCAGTATTCATAAGACTCTGGATTTTTTTTTGGGGGGGGGGGTCCAGTTGTGGGGCCTGAACTCTGGGCATGGGCACTCTCCCTTAGCTCTTCAGCTCAAGGCTAGCGCTCTACCACTTGAGCCATAGCACCACTTCCGGCTTTTTTTCTTTTTGCTTATGTGGTGCTGAGGAATTAAACCCAGGGCCTCATCCATGCAAGGCAAGCGCTCTACCACTGAGCTACCTTCCCAGTCTCGACCCTGGATGTTTGATCCTCAGCATCTTGAACAACAAACAAAATAAACAAACAGAAAACTGGAACTGGAAGTCATAGATTTACATGGGCCACCTGGGCTGCAGCTCTACTTCCGGTTTTTGAGTGGTTAACTGGAGATAAGAGTCTCACAGGGACTTTTCTACCTGGGCTGGTATCGAACTGCAATCCTCAGATGTCAGCCTCCTGAGTAGCTAGGATTATAAGTGTGAGCCACTGGTGCTGGCCAAAAGGGACTTTGTAGTCAAGATATAAGTCATAAGATGAGATAAACCCTAGGTTATCTAATTATCTATATAGACTATTCAATGACCAGTATCCTTATAAGAGACAGAAGAGGCAAGAAGGATTAAGCAAGGGGCCAAATGATTCTCGGGGTCTTATAGCTCACTTTTAGTGCAAGGGAAGAAGTCGTTGAGGCTGATATATGGAAGAGAGAGGAGAGAGAATGAGAGGGAAGGGGCAGCCAGCAAGCCAAGTGTTGCAATCACTCAAGTCAGAGAGGTTGGAGAGAAATGGTAGATAGAGAGATTTAAGTGGTAAAAATGAACAGACTTGGGATATAAGTAAATAGGTTTTGGCACAAGGGGCAGGTTGATGCCAAGTCTAACTCTCAGGATTTTGGTTAGGTAGCTGATGAGGAGCATCTCCTCTGGCGCAGCAGGGGGTATGGGCTTGTGTAGAGTTGAGGGTAGACAAGAACATTGGCACTCAAGTGGAGATGTAGACTTGAGCAGTCAGTCATCTGGCTCTGAAGCTTCTGAGGAAGAATGAGGCTGAAAGAGTGTAATTTGTAGCTGGAGAGGTGGCCCATGTCAATAATAATCCTAGCTACCCAGGAGGCTGAGATCTGGAGGATTGTGGTTCAAAGCCAGTCAAGACAGAAAAGTCTAAGAGACTCCATTTCCAAAATAACCCATAAAAAGCTGGGCTGGAGGGGTGGCTTAAGTGGTAAAGCACCAGCTAAATAAGCAAGGCAAGGAAAGCAAGCAGATACACAAGGCCCTGAGTGCAAACACAGGTATTGGCAAAAAAAAAAAAAGAGGGTAATTTGTGAGTTAACTTTAGGGCCTAAGCATTTACTGAATAAGGACAGAGTGAGAGAAGAATGCTGGGAAGAAGTCTGGGTAGCAAGAGGTAGCAAGAGAAGATGCAGAGAAATCAAGGGACATGAGCATTCCAGCAAGGCAGTGGTCAATACCAGGGATGATTTGCTGTTTACGGCCTTGGAAGATGAACGCTGAAGAGCAGTCATTAACGTTTGAGATTTGGAGGTTTGGAAGAATTTGTTGAGACCTGGCTGGGGGTTATTGGAAGCTAGAAGAATTCACTACAAGGTCTGAGAGGAGGTCAAAGAGAGTTGAATGCAAAGAGACAGCTTTTTCTTGCTTGCTTGCTGTGGCTAAAGACAGAGACCCCCTCCCCACCCCCAGTAAGTAGTTGGTGGGGTAGAAGGAGGGTTTTGTTCTCAAGCATAGGTTTGAAGATATTTCTAAGGCCAAAAAAAGATGTAGTTGAGAGGAAGAGGTTGACTATTTAGAGGGGGGTGCATTTCAGAGCAAGCTCCTGAGGGGAGAGAGCATGGGGAGTTGTGGGCAGAGATTTTTTGTAGCATAACAGGATATGGCAGAGTCAAGAAATTTTCTGTTGTTTCTGTTTAGTTTCAGTCTACTTCTGGCTGGTGATGGACACAGGCAAGACAGGGTCTCTTTGGTGTCTGTTTTTATTTTTGTTATTGGTGCTGGGGTTTGAACATCAGGGCCTGGGGACTGCCTTGAGCTTTTTATCTTTTGGGGGGGGCGGGGGGAAGGATAGCAGCATTCTACCACTTGAGCCACACCTCCACTTCTGGCTTTTAGGTGGTTCACTGGAGATAAGAGTCTCAGAGACTTTTCTGCCTGGGCTGGCTTTGATCTGCAATCCTCAGATCTCAGCCTCTTGAGTTAGCTAGGATTACAGGTGTGAGCCACTGGCACCCAGCACTCTTTGGTATTTTATATCCTATTTCTGTGCTTCTCTCTGTTCCAGGTCTAGGCTGTCCACCTGGCCACTGTGAACCTAGAGAATGTTCACGCTGGGCTGGGAAGGAGTCCGGGCATCTTGGTTCTGGGCTCTGCTCCCTGATGAGATTCTCAGACACCTTCCCCTCATTCATGAGCCGGCGTGGGAACTAGCTTGGCCACTAGGGCCCACTTTCAGCTCAGGCTGTGGACTGCTTGCAGCTCTGTCTTCGGGTGTCCTAGGCCGGACTGGCTGAAGGAATTGTCCAGTATTTTTTTGATCTGTGTGATAAGGAAGATGGTGGGCAAACCCTGGCTTGGCTCTAGTGGGTGCCTGGCTGTGGAGGCCTCGCCCCCCAGTCTGGTGGGCTCCCTCCTAGCAAAACCACTGCTCCTGAACACAGGAGGGGAGTGTGTGTGTGTGTGTGTGTGTGTGTGTGTGTGTGTGTGTGTGTGAAATGCCTGAGTGGGTAGTGGGGATCTAAACCCCTCTGGAAACTTGGCCCTGGAGGTGAGTCTCCCAGAGGATGAACCCCAGTCCCTCTATTTCCTGCCTGGTCCCTTCTTGTGAGCCCCTCCCCCCAGTCCCATCCCTGGTGACCCCCATCCTTGTGGGATAGTGATGGATGGAGCAGGACAGAAAGGACCAAGTGTTCGGCAGGACCATTAAGGAAATGGGCATGAGCTCCTCCCCAGGCCTCACCCCCTCCCCTAATTCTGCACATCCACGTGGAGAGGGGACGGGGGGGGGGGGGGAAGAAGGGGTTCGGCGCCCCGCGATTGGAGACCCGGGCAGGCCGAGTCCCACAGGTGTCGGAAGAGCATGCAGAGAAGAGGCAGGCGCCGCTTACGTGCAGCGCGCGGCGGGCGGCATGACGGGCGCTGGCGGGCGGCCCCCCCCCCCCCCGAGCCTGGCACGATGCCCACGCGCCCGGGGCAGCCCGTGAGGTCGGGAGGCCCCAGCCTTCCCATCCCAGCAGAGCTCCCCGGGAGCGAAGTGGAGGGGTGGGGCGGCGCAGAGCCAAAGCTCCCCCACCCCGCGGGCCTGGGAGGGGCGGGAGGTGGGGATGTGGCATTAGCTCAAGGGGGCGGAGCCTGCCGCGGCGAGTGGGCGTGGCCCGACGCCCACCAGGGGGCGGAGCCGCGAGGGAGGCGGGGCCGGAGCGGGTTGGGCGACGCCACGGGAGGTTCTGGAAACGCCGGGCGCGGCGCGTGTCCAGGTGAGCGCCCCGTGGGTCGCCTCAGCGGCGGGTGTCAGGAACTGGGCGGGGGGGTCGCCGGGTGTGTGTGTGGGGGGGGGTGTTCTGTCCACGGGCGAGCGGGAAGTGAGGGAGGGTGGGGTAGGGGCGGCGGCGGCGGCTGGGACCCGGGAGGGTCGCGTCGCGCACCCCTGCCGGCTGGCTGGCCCGCCAGCCCCGGCGTCCCTCAGCGCTCGCGGGTTCCTGCCCCGGCCCGCGTTCCCCTTCCCGAGCTCGGGGTGCGGAAGGTCGGCGGCGCCCTTCCTGCCGGTCCCTGGCGAGGCCGGGCGGGGACTTGGCCTCCCTTGCCCCTGGTTAGGCTCCCGGGAAGCGGCGGGGCCTGACCCCGTGGCGGGAAGCGTCGGCCTGGCCCCAGGCAAGGGCCGTTCGTGTTCGGGAGGCCGCGCCCCTCAATCCTGAGCCGGGCTGGGAGCCAGCCCAGTGCCAGTTAATTAGATGGGGTGTTAGCTCCGAAAGGCTGCCCCTCCAGTCCTGCCTCTCAACCTGCCCCCCCACTTCTTCTTCTTTTTTCTTTCCCTCTCAGCACTTACAAGGAGCCCAGTAGTCATCAGTGAAGTAATTCAGCCCACAGAGTCCTGCAAGGAGTTGCTAGCCACCGGGGCAGGCAGGCAGGCAGAGTGGCAAAGTCTGAAAATTCAGGCCTTGAATCATGGTGAGTGCTGTGCAGGCTGGGGCTGGGTGGGGTGGGGGGGGCGTGGAAGAGGGGGGGAATGGACACGGGTTGTGGCATCTTGGATGTTCCAGGGCTCAGGGTTTCCTGGAGGTGGTGGTGGTGGTGACTTGGTGAACTGCGACCATAATCTGCACAGGGGAGCTGCTGATGGGGGTGAGAGCAGACTTGGACCAGCATCATGCTTTGCAGGACTCTGGTTAAAGAAAGCAAGATGATGGGGTAAAACCACAAGAGCCTGGATGAACAGTGCTGGGGCCTACAGCGTGTGGAAGGTGCCCAGGCAATCGCTGCGAGCACTTCGTGCCTCAGGTGTTGCTACTGTATAGCACAGATGGAGGCCCCTGGCCTCTGTGTTGTAATTTGACACATATAAGAGGTTACAGGGAAACATTGGGGTTGCTCCCAAGACAGACTTGATTTATTTTTCTGAAGAGTGACATGTAAGGCTTGTGCTTTGTGCTGATACTAGGGGCTTGAACTTGGACCTGGGAGCTGGCCCTTAACTTTTGCTGCTCAAGGCTGATGCTGTACCGCTTGAGCCCACACCTCCACTTCTGGCCTTTTGGTGGTTAATTGAATACAAGAGTCTCAGGGACCTTACTATCTGGGCTGGCTTCAAACTGTGATCCTCAGATTGCAGCCTCCTAAGCAGCTAGGATTACAGGCGTTTACTTCCTGCTTTACATCTTCAGGGGCTAGGTAGCACCTAGCCCTATGAACAAGGGCTCCCAGACTTCACAGATACTTGTCATCTGCCTAAGAGTTTGTAGGAAGTTATTGCCAGCCACTGCTTGTTCTCAGCCTGCTTCATGTCTGAGACAACACAACAGGTTCCATGAGAGAGTTCTCTGTTAAATAGACCACAGCATTTCCTTTGGCTTTGCTTCAACAACCCCTGAACTATCTAGGGTGCAGTCTCTCGCTGTGGTTCTGTGCCTCTATTTCTCCCCACTCACAGGATGTTTGGCCTTCAAATTCTTTTCTCCTAGGGCCTCCTTGTTCTCACATGGTTACGCATGTCCACTATTTGTCCCTGTCAGTGAAGCCACGTAGCATGGATGGAGTCAAGTTGGCTGAGGGCCTTATTCCAAAGATGTTGTCATACTAAAATACCCTGGTTATTGAGAGGGGAGCTCAGCAAGCACACATGGTGACAGCTAAACTGTAGCATCTTGTGTCGCTTATGTAGTCTCTGCCCCCTCCTCCCCCTTGCCCTGCCACAGACTGTGCAATGAGGTGTTGCTGCTTTGAACTGGCCACAGCTGATCTCTGTTCATTCCTGGAGTACCTCCTGCATGTGTAGCTTCTGCCTAGAATGTGCCTGGGGCTGGGAGGGAAGAGAGAGGAGGTGATAGAGACGCTATTCTTGCCTAGATTATGATCTCTCAGATGGCTGTTTCTGTTTCCCTCTGGCAGATGGCCATGTGCCAGAGGAGAAACTGGGTATGTGGGTACTTATCAAAGGGTACAACTGGCTACATGCCACTCTGAGGAAGAGTGGGGTGAGGGATTCTAGGGTTAAGCCTCCCTTATTGACTGCCCTCTCACATCCTTGGGAGGGTCTGAGGCTGGACTCAAGGTCTTGGCTGAATTGTGGCCACGCTGGCTGATAGTGTGCAGAGGGCTAGTAGGTGTGTCCCTGGCTCTGGGGATCTGTTAAGAGTTTAATTTTATGCAGATGGAGCTTGGCAGCAAATACTGTAATGCAGGCACGTGCAGGCCCAGCAGAGTACTGGAGTGACAGTTAAACTTTGAAAAAGCTGCTCAAGTCTGATGGTTTGAATCACTGAAGTGCCCGAGGGTGGAGCATCAGTCTGTTATACAGCAAAGGGAGCTGTGGGTCCTGTGGTCTGTGGGTGACATGGATTGAGGGATAGACAATTTCTTATTCTCAGAGCAAAGAGGAATGAAAATTGGACTGGACTTCTTGGAGTCCCAGAAGAGAGTTTTTGTTCAGTTGGTGTCATCGCAGGGTAGGGGATTAAATGTTTGGTGAATGTTCTCCAACTCACATAGGATCTGTCTGAGCCTGGTGACAGGCCAGCTTCTGCTTTAGACTTCTCGAGAAGTACTTGCTAAAGCCTAGCCTGCTCTGTGCCTAGCACTCCTGAGGGCCAGGGTGTGGTGGAGATCCTGAGGTCTGGTACTTGTAGGAACCTGGAATGAGCAGGTCAAAAGCACAGAAGTACATGAGCCTCTGGAGTGTTGGTCTAGTCCCTGCCCCTGTCTTTTGCCAGGGACATTTTCTTGGTGGCTCTAGCACAGGGATGGGCTATTTCCAAGGTTATTCCATGATGGTCTGGGTGTTACATGAAAGCACTCAAGGCTGGCACTCTACCATTGAGCCACAGCTCCACTTTTTGGTGGTTAATTGGAGATGAGTCTTATAGATTTTCCTGCCTGGGCTGCCGTCAAACCACCACCCTCAGATCTCTGAACCTCCTGAGAGCCACTGGTACCTAGATTTGCATCTTCATTGTCTACTAGTCTTCACTCAGAGACCCATTGCTCAGTAGACTGCTTCAGATCCACTGGTTTTCCTGGTAATGCTTGGTCCTATCAAATGAATTTGTGAGATTTACATTGTGGGCCTATCTGAATAGCATGATGAAATCTTGTGCCATTCTGCACTGTGCTGCGGGGGCTATGAATCATCCCTTTGTATAGTGAATCCAAGCTGTGTGTGCATCCCACTTGTTAGTCACTTCCTTACTTTGTAGCCATTTGGGTTATCAGGCTGACTGCTATAGTGACATTGTAATGTTTGTGAGCAAGTAACTTTTCATATAATAAAGGCTCCAAAGGGACTGGGAAGGTGGCTCAGTGGTAGAGCACTTGCCTTGCATGCATGAGGCCCCGGGTTCGATTCCTCAGCACCACATAAGCAGAAAAAAAAGCCGGAAGTGGTGCTGTGGTTCAAGTGGTAGAGCACTAGCCTTGAGCTGAAGAGCTGAGGGACAGCACCCAGGTCCAGAGTTCAGGCCCACGACCGGACCCCTCTTCCCCCCAAAAAAGCCTCCAAAGTACAAGAGTAGTGATGATGGCAATTTTATTTCTGCTCATTGTTATAGCTACTGTTTTGATATTAATATTGCTAATCTTTTACTGTGCCTAATTTATAAATTAAACTTTATCCCAGGTATGTATGTATTAGTGAAAACAAAACCAGTATCGTCTTCCAGGGTTTGATATTGTCTGTGGTTCATCCACTGAGGTCTTAGACAAGGGGAGACTACTGTATCTGAAGTGAAGATGATTATCTAGCTTACAAGAGTTTTAGGGAGAATTAGATGGCAGAAATGAAAGATTTGTAGAAACATAAATTGTGGTTATTCCAGAAAATAGAGCCTGAGGCAGGGCTTAAGTGCTTAATGCTTTATTGGAAAGTATTTTGCACCACACCTAGTGTCTTAGTTGTTCATCCATTCAAGACCTCTCTATGCAAGCCCTGTAGAAACTCCATGCCTTTTCCTGCTTTTATTGGTCAGAGTTGCCTCCTGGGAAGTTAACTTACCCCTTCCATAGCCATTGGAGAGGCTGGAGTAGAGGTGGTGGGAGGAGCCAGAGGTTCTGGTTTGAGCCTACAGTCTCTTTTACTGGGCTGAGACACAGCAAATGGCCTAGGGCCTAGGATATGGATGAGACCAGAGAGTAGGAGACTGCATGTAAGATTCTTCCAATATGTTAGTGTGTGGATTTTGTCTTCAGGTACATTTCCTTCTCATTAGTTAGGTATATCCAGACTGCCAAATCTCTGCCAAGACCCTGACTGAACACCTAGCTTGGAATTTGCCTGTTTTTGGCTTTTGTTTTTATTTTTAATTCTTTTTTTTGGGGGGTCCGGTCGTGGGGCCTGAACTCTGGGCCTGGCCGCTGTCCCTCAGCTCTTCAGCTCAAGGCTAGCGCTCTACCACTTGAGCCACAGCACCACTTCTGGCTTTTTTCTTTTTGCTTATGTGGTGCTGAGGAATCGAACCCAGGGCTTCATGCATGCAAGGCAAGTGCTCTACCACTGAGCCACCTTCCCAGCCCCCTTATTTTTAATTCTTAAAATTAGCTTATACAGGGGTGAGGGAATTTCATTTTTATAATTCCACACATGTTTACACTGCATTCCTATCAATCTCACCCTTTCCCTGTCTCTCTCCCCCCAAAAAACAGTATCCCCAACAGATTTCTTGTGCCCCTTCCTCCTCCCCGCTTTTCTGCTTTTACTTTTGCCTTGGGCTTGAACTTAGACAGTTCTCAAGCCTCTTTGTGCTCAAGGCTAGCACTCTTACCACTTGAACCACAGCACCACTTCTGGCTTTTTCTGAGTGATTTATTGGAGATAAGAGTTTCATGGACTTTTCTGCCCTGGCTGGCTTTGCACCACGATCCTCAGGTCTCAGTCTCCTGAGTACCTAGGATTACAGAGGTGAGCCTCTAGTGCCGGCATTTTGTTCCCTTTTCATAGCTGTGAATAATCTACTTTGATAGTATTCAACCTCCTGCTTAGTGTTTTTATCAACCTTCTCTGATACTTTATTGTCTTGTTACTGAAGTAGAGGCCTGTAGTTTTTTTTGGTTCCCTCAACTGGGGACTTGGAAATCAATTTGTTCATGTTCTAGAATCTAGTAACTAGATAGAGAAAGTGCAGGTAGAGATATACATTATCTGACACACATACCCTTATCCATTCCAGGGCCTCCTGAGTCCCCACTTCTTCTGATGCAACCAATCAAGCTTCTTTACTGACAATTTGTCTTCTTAAATGTCGAGTGAGGGCTGAGATTCAAGAGGACACTTGGATGAGGAGAACACATTGTATTGAGCACCAGTCTAAGCTTCATTAAGTTCTTGGTGAAGGAGAATATTTTTCACATCAAGTCCTTGTTGAAGGTATGGGGCTCCAAGAGCTGAGATGGAGCTGGAGAGGGCAGCAGGGCAGGTCACACAGGTACAAGGGCCCTCTGGGCTGAGGAGTTTGGACTTAATCCTGGTAGAAAAGAGTTGGGAGTGGAGCCAGAGATGTGGAGAATGAGTGAGGACTTGCATGGCGGAGGAGGCTGCTAGAGATGGCTCAGACCAAGGTAATGGCTGAGGCATAATATAAGGTAGGAGTTGGGTACTTTACATCTTTTGCTGGGATGCCGGTGCCAGTGCCAGCTACTTCTGGGCATTCATGTAAATGAATGGAGTTGGCTAAAGCACTGAGCAGCAGGGTCACGGTGAGGGAGTGAGGGGGCAGGGGAGGTCTGGACCCCTATTCAGGGAGTTTTTGCCCCTTGGTGGATGGCAGGCAGCATTTTGTCCAGTGCCAAGAGAGACCTGTTTGTTCTCAGCAAACCCATGTTCTTTCTCTAGGCTGTTAAATACATTGTTAAAACTCAAGCTGTTGTATTTGGGTTGCAGCTGGGAGCTTGGCAGAGTGTCCTGCCTGATGAGGTAAGGGGAGAAGCTGAGGCTGCTGCTGGTTTGCATCTGGAAACATCTTTCCATGGCCATTTGGCCAGCTTGTAAATGTCCCTTCCAAAGAGCATACTTGGTGTAGGACCTCTGGTTGTATGTCTTGGAATCACTGTGCTTAGAAACAGTGCCAGTTTCCTGGTGGGTGAATTACTGTCACTGGGATGTTGGCAGGTTTTTCAGGACCTCCCTGTGGGGATCCAAACTCTGGGGCTGCCAAGACTCTTTTCAAGTTCATTTGAGAAGGGTATGCTTTGTTTTCTTTACATTTTACCATATTATAAAAATACTTTTTAAAAATTCCTTATAGAAAGATTAAGAAAACAAGCATAAAAAGAAAAATTAGATTCTTTTATCAAGATACAGTTAATTATGATTCCTCACCTATTTACATATATACACTTACATATGTACATATGTGCATTTTTTTCCTTACAAAAAATGGAGTCATACAGTATATAGTGATTGTTTGGGGCCTGCTCTTCTCATTCTGCTTCATCTCTCCATGTTGATTTACAGAGTGTCTCCATTCTTATATACTCCAAAACAATCCACTATATGGAAGAAATTGAAATTTTTTTGTGTAGTTTCTTAAACAAGTTATTATTTTTTGGTGAGTGTGGGGCGGGGAGAGTTACCTGATACAGGACAGATATTCTAAACCCTGGGAATGCAGTGCAGGTAAAACTCGGTGTTATTTTTCTGCTTAGGTTTGGTGCTGCTTTATTTTTTTCTAAAAGGGAGTTTGAAATTGACCATCTCCAGGCTTATTGTTCATGGATATCTTAGGGTTTCTAGGAGGACTTTTGGCAAAAATTAACACTTTGTAGAACATAAGTCAGGCATCTATCTGTACTTCTACCTCCTCTGTTTAGAGCAAGCTCTGGGTAGAGGTATCGGTGTAGGTGAAGGTGTAGATATGAGATGGAGGTTGGCCTTTCCCACATTGCAGAGCACAGTTCCTCTTAAATGTCTCCTCCTCCCAACTTGACCCTAGTTAGATGACATTTTGTACAAAACCTTCTGAGTTTAGGGACTAAATGTTGAAGCTGGGGTTTCAACATTGCACCTGCTTAGGATGGCAGAGTTGATGTGGCAATCTTGAAGCTACTTAAGGGTACCCAGCTCTCTGGGTCAGCCTCCCCCTCTTCTGCCAGAATAGGGTTTTGCAGGCTCTTGATAAGTCATTTCTTTGAGGCTCTGCCCGCAGGCTGGGATTCGTGGATGGGCATCTAAGCCAGGCAGCACATTCCAGAGAAATGACAGATGGTATTCATGTAATAAACCTGGCTGCTTTTCTTCTAAGTGCTATAATGTATAAAGCATGGTTAGTATTGGCAGGTGACTTGAAAAGAATGGAGAAGGAGGGAGAAGAGGGTGTTGGAGGTTGGTAAATATGATAGAAGTATATTATATACATGTACGAAAATAGCATAATGAAAATTGTTAAAAAGGAGAATAGAGGAGTAAGGAGGCTTAAAAATAATATGGATAAGATAAATTTGATCATGGTATATGGGAGACAGGGGGGAAGAGAGAGGGGGGGAGAGAGAGAGGAGAGAGAGAGAGAGGCTGTCTGTTTCTCTAGCCTGATCTCTTCATCTGTTCTCCCAAGCACCCCACCTCTGAGGAACATTGGCTAGTCCCACAATGTCCACAGATCCTCATGGCTCTGAGTTTTTCTTGTCTTCTCCTTACATACGGTTCTCTTCAGAGCTCTTGATGAACAGATATACCAATTCTGAAGGGGTGCTTGCTTCCTGTGGAAGCAAGAGGACAGGCCAAGAATTCTGGAGTGGAGAAGACAGTGTGGTGAGGCCTGAGAGCTGACCAGGCTGGAGTCTGGAGGACCTGGGCTCTGCCTCAGAGCTAGTCCAGGCCTACTTACCTTCTTTTTTTGGGTGGGGGGTGGTGGGGTGGTCTGTTACGGAGCTTGAACTTGGCCTGGGCGCTGACCCTGAGCTCTTCAGCTCAAGGCTAGCACTCTATCACTTGAGCCACAGTGCCACTTCTAGTTTTCTGGTGGTTAAGTGGAGATAAGAGTCTCATGGACTTTCCTGCTCACACTGGCTTTGAACCACGATCCTTAAATCTCAGCCTCCTGAGTAGCTAGGATTACAGATGTGAGCCACCAGTGCCCAGCGTGACTTGCTTTCTTTTGCTGACCTCACTCCCTTAGGCCAATAGTCCCTGCCTTGCAGCAGGTACTAGCTTAGAAGATAATTGTCCTGTATTGCACACCTGGACTGTGACAGACAAGCTGTTACCTCTGTAGATATTTGGCTTAACATGAACATATGGAACTAGCCACTTATACTTTCCTCTTCTAGTAGAAGAGCCTGTTTGGGAGTGGGTCTTGGGAGGGCCTGTCTTCTTTGAGCTTAAGCTGGAACCACAGCCAAGAGGGATTTTTCCTGAAAGGGTGAGTGAAGAATGGTGAGTCATTGACTATGGAAGGCAAAAACTGACAAGCTGGCATGAGTCAGCTGAGACCTGGAATTCTGTTAGATAAGGCTTACATTCTGGGGAACAGCATTTCTATTTCCTTTATTTTCTCCTTGGAAATTTCCACTCGAGCACGCTAGTGTGACTCGGCTAAAGTGGAGCAAGAGGAAGGATGGGAAGAACAGGGGCTCAGATGGGTACTGGTCCTCCCGCACGTTGCAGGCTGCCTGCTGAGTGGGCAGACAATGTCTGAAGCTTCCATTGTGTACTTAGGTCCACTGCCAGCGAGGCTTGCCCCTGGTTGCACCAGCCTCCCTCAGAGCTGTGTCTGACTATTTCTAGATTGATGAGAAGGCAGTGGCTGGCTTCTTTCCCATGTCAGCAAACTCAGCCCAAGGTTTTGGCTATGGGTGGCTGGATTCACTTTTGTATCCTGAGTGCCTAGCTTAGTGCCTGGCTGAGTTGTCAGTAAATATTTGTGAATGAATGATGACTTGCCAGTGAGAATAGGACAGTGTCTGCCCAGAAGTGCAACTCTCTTGACTGCTTTCTTTTTTTGGCAGGTGCAGACTGGCAGAGGTCAGCTTTATTTCTCTTCTGCCTAACCATCTGCTGTACACCTCAGTTTGTATGGGCCCCTCAGAGCATTCTATATGAGTTTTCTTTCTGTCATTGCCTTTTCTTTCCCCTGCCTTTTCTTATGGGTCGGGGGAAGGTCCCAGCATCTGGCACTATCCTAGCCACATGTATGGGAAGATAAGATAATAACAGATAAACAGTCTGTGAAATGTGAAGGGATGGGCCAGAATTTTGGATACCAGATGTTAGAACCAGAGGTGAATATACCCTATTGTGATTCAGCCTTCTCCTGTTGTAAGTGGTTGCCAGGAATTGAGAGGATGAGGCCTCTCTCAAGGGCATGTGGCTTCCCAGGGCAGGGGCCAGCATTGAATGTATATCACTGGCTCCATACCCTGTGCTTTTTCCACCTGGGTGATCCTAAATATCTTTCTTAGTTTTAGATATATTTAAATATGTATATGTACTTGTATATGTATATGCATTGAGTGTGTATATGTGTGCATGTGTGTGTATGTGTCTTCTCACCCAGGTGACTGTTTTTACTATGATCATCTAATGAATATTTCTGAATGCTTTGCAGACACTGCCCTTTCCGGCCATGAAACTTCAAGTATCTGTATTGTTGATGGCCTGGCTTGGAGTCTTGAGCTATGTGCAAGCTGAATTCTTCACCTCTATTGGTATGTGTTAACAGGATTATTGTCTGCCCAAGCAGCTCTTGGCTCAAATGCTAGGGAATGCCACTTCCTGAGGCTCATTCTCATTCAGAGTGGGATGGCCTCACCCACTGGTTTTGACCAGTTTAGGATTAGGTCCTCATCTCTGAAAAGTATAGGCTACATGTGCTCTTTTTGATCCTGGTCCAGAGAGTACTTCTGAGCAGTAAGCACTCTGTGCTCTGAAGATCCAGTTCCCTCCTCTCTTTCTCACCTGAGGTTTCAGAGCTTGTTTTCACCTGTTGAGCCCTTAGGATGGATATACATGCCCCAGGGGCAGGATGAAATTTTCTTCCTTGAATAGCCCCCAGTGCCCTTATCCTACACATCCACTTGGCACCTCTACCTCTTTTCTTCCTGAAATGGGGGCGGGGCCATGTGGATATCTAGCGCTCCACCCCCCCCCCTCCCCCCCCCTTAACTCCAAGTTGTCCTTGTCATTATCAGAGAGCTGAAATGCCTTTATCCTAAGGGACTCACTAGTGCTGTGTTAAATGTTTTGACTTCTAGGAAGGGATCTGTATATTCCCTTACTCATTTCTCACTTGCCCTTACTTCTCTCCTGTAGGGCACATGACAGACCTGATTTATGCAGAGAAAGACCTGGTGCAGTCTCTGAAGGAGTATATCCTTGTGGAGGAAGCCAAGCTCTCCAAGATTAAGAGGTGTGTACCAATGTCCTAAACCCCACACTCAACTGGAGTCAGATCGTCTTCCCTCAAGTCTTTGAGATGTAATGTGGGACAGGCCTGGAGGTTGCTTCATGCTAATCCTTTGGCGTAGCTAAGTACATGGGCAAATTAAAAATTACAGTTTTTTTCTTTCTACCTTTTAATTTACATCGGGATTCCCAGCTTTTACCTAGATTAAAGGGCTAGATGTATCTGTAGGAGTTACTATATTCATTTTTGTTATCTCTTGACAGAAAGGGTCCTGGATCTTACCAGGGAAGTTATTACAGGTCAAGGCCTATGTGGGTGGGTGTGATAGTCTTTTTCTTTGGATTTATAGCTGGGCCAGCAAAATGGATGCCTTGACAAGCAAGTCAGCTGCTGACCCTGAGGGCTACCTGGCTCACCCTGTGAATGCCTATAAACTAGTGAAGCGGCTAAACACAGACTGGCTTGCACTGGAAGACCTTGTCTTGCAAGACTCTGCCGCAGGTAAGGGACAGTGAGTAGGTACTTAGGGGTCTTAGTGTCTGTCTGAGGCCATCTTAGGTCTGATAGACAAATGTAATATGTAAACATGGTTCTGTCAATATCATGAGTCTCATCTCTGTGAATGCTGGGAATGAGTTGTCTTTTTATTTTTTGCCTGAGACTAGGACTCAAATTGAGTACTTAACCCTTTCACTCATTGGGTGGTGCTCTGTCAACAATATCAGGCCTCTATCCCAAGGGTTGGTTATTTCTGTGTGTGTGTATGTATGTTTTAACATGTAATAAACAACTGTTGACTTTTGTAGTGCTTTTATCACCTATCTTTCTCGCTTTTATCACCTATCTTTCTCTCTCGGTTTGAACTCAAGACCTTACATGTTACTAGACTGCTGCCATACTGTTGAGCCAAGCCTCTAGTCCTGTTTTGCACTGGTAATCTTTAGGATAGGGTCTTGATTCATGCCCAGGTGGAGGCCTGAGTTTCAGTCTACCTACTTTAGTCTTCCTGTCATAACTGGAATCACAGTGTGTGCTACCATGTCAGCCTTCCTTCCATGGAGTTGAAATCCCTTGGACTTTTTCTGCCAGGACTAATCTGTATCTTTCAACCTCAGCCTCCTACAACCTGACACAGGTGTGTCACTGCCCAGCTGTTGGTTGAGAAGGGGGTCTCATGAGCATTTCTGCCCAGGCTGGCCTTAAATTTCTGTCCTCCCATTCCCAGCTTCCCAAGTAGCTAAGATTAAAGGCATGAGCCACCGGTGCCTCTAGCTATCTATCTCCCCTAGTTTTGGTAATGACATTTGTTTTCACATTATACTGTAGTAATACATGTTTTAGCAGTAAAGTTTGGAAACACAAACATGACCACATAAAATTATAGCTGGGAATTGGTGGCTCATACCTGTAATCCTAGCTACTAAGGAGACCGAAACCTGGAAGATAGAAGTTTGGAGCCAGCCAGGGCATAAAAGTCTGCAAGACTTTGTCTCCAGTTAACCAGCAAAATTCTGGACTTGGACACCTAACTCAAGTGATAGAATGCTATCTGTTAACAAGAAAACCAAGTGAAAGTGCAAGGCCCTGATTTCAAGCCCTTGTACCTGTATATACAATAATTAGAATTCTTAATCCAATTGCCTAGTGATAAGCACTGCAAAAATTATGATCTTCTTTACCAGAGATATGCATTAAAAAATAGAACCCTACTTATATCAGGAATGAAAACTCATTTGCTTTGAGGAACAAGCAAATTGAGAAGGAGTTAGGGTGTTAGGGCCAAGGCAGGCAGGATAACATAGGCCTCATCTGAATTCTTTTTTGTCTTTTACAAACAAAACATACATGTTGGAGGGATTTGTGATGTAAATATGTACTGTTTTCCCGATTTTCCCATTTCTCTGTATGCTCTTAGATGTTCTTCAATGTGCTTTTAATGGTTAGATAGTAATCTGCTATATTGGTCAAGTCACTACACATGGGGTTATTTCCAAAATTTCAGCGATCTTTTATGTATCTCTTGTCTATCTCTGGTTATTTTTCTAGGATAAATTCCTAGAAATGGCATTTACAGGTCAAAGTATGATTTTATTTTTTTTTTTAACCTCTTTCTGTGGTAGGGATTTCCGTGATTTACTACTTTTCCTGTCAACAAGAAGTGATGGTAAGCAGACCTGGAGGTGGCCCCCATAGACTCTCAACCTTAGGCTCAGCCCCTGTCTCTTTTTTGAGTTGAGATTGCTGATTAACTTCAGACTAAGCAGTCTTTCTGGCTGAGACATGTTTCAGCCCATGTGACCAGACAGGGTTGGGCTTGGCTAGAGGCAGGGTGGCCTCCTGGGAGGGATTGGTGAGCTCAGTGGAGCTGGAGCTGTGCCCTGTGAGCTCATTGCCTCTAGAACCAGGGCTGCCTTTCCCAGACCCTCCCGCCCTTCCCCCCTTCCCTTCCCTGGGCTGGGCCTGTATCTCAGCACAGGCTGTTCTGCCTGCCCTGCAGGAGACTAAGCCTGCACACATGATCTCCGCTTTTTGATCTTGTTCTCTGCTTTCTCCCTTTCATATCAACATCTGGAAAACCTTATAATCACCTGGAAGGAGATTGGGCAGGACCAAAAGGCACTGGGCTGTATTCATGTCTGGCTTTGTGCTTGTGTCTGAAATGAGGGGGCACACTGACAGCTTTTATTAGAGGGGTACCTTTTCTTTTTCTCACATGCTAAATTCTTTTTTTAAATTTTTTTAATTTTTTTTATTGTGAAAATACTGCACAGAGGAGTTACAGTTACATGGGCAAGATAATGAGTACATTTCTTTTTTTTTTTTTTTATGAGTACATTTCTTATCAAGCATTGTAGCCTCCTCCTTTGTTTCCCCTTCCCATCCCTTCGCATCCTCCCCCCCCATCCTCCCCGCTCCCCTCTCCCCCCCCCCCCCCCCCCCCGCCCTGCACCAAAGTTGTAAAGTTAATTTTCGACATAATGACTTGTACATCTCATTGTTCCAATTGGTCCACCTGTATCCCTGTTTAAATGATTTGTTTTTCCCCTTCCCCTCCACAAATTATACCAACATCAAATACAGTGAAAGCAGGGGTATACTGTGGGTGAGGGACATACAAAGCAACAAAGAAATAATCTTGTAAATGAGATAGAAACAATTGCATGAAAGAAAAAAAACATTTGAATACATATCTTAGGGTTCAACATGACCTTATCTGACCTTTTCTGCTTGACTCAGACATATACTAGATATTGCTAATAAGGGAAACAATGGGACCTATGTTTCTTTGGGCCTGGCTTACTTCACTTAATATAATTTTTTCCAAGTCTTTCCATTTCCTAACAAATGGGTCAATGTCATTTTTTTCTGATGGAGGCATAGAATTCCATTGTGTATATATACCACATTTTCTTGATCTATTCATCTACTGAGGGGCATCTGAGTTGGTTGCATATCTTAGCTATAGTAAATAGTGCTGCAATAAACATAGTTGTGCTGGTAGCTTTAGTGTGGTCTCGTTTGTGAACATTTGGGTAAATGCCCAAAAGTGGGATTGCTGGGTCATAGGGGAGCTCTATGTGGAGTCTTTTGAGGAACCTCCATACTACTTTCCAAAGTGGTTGAACAAGTTTACACTCCCACCAACAATGCAGTAAGGTTCCCTTCTGTCCACATCCCCTCCAGCATCAGATGCTAAATTCTTTAGTGTCTCTCTGCCCCTACAATCATGAGGAAGACAAGAAAGCAGCATCTTGGTTCCTGGGGCCCCAAGCTTGGCTGGAAATGGATGTTTAGGCTTGATGTGGTGAGAGTAGGTGCCAGCAGGTGCTGCTGCTCTTGGAAAGGAGCCAAGGAAGGAATGCCTTCATGTTCTCCCAGTTTTCAACTCACAGGTGCAGTGGAAGGCCTAAATCGGCACAAGAGGGTCTGGCTTCCTCCTAGAGCCTTGGTAGAAGGAGAGATGTATCTTTTACTTTATGACCGGGGCTTGGTATCCCAGCAAACACTCGGTGGTTGAAAGCTGACTGGAGTTCCAAATTGTGATCTTAGACACTATATATAATAAGGAAGCTCATGCCCCTTATAAGTGTTAGACTCACATGTATTAACCAATGTGCAGGCTTTGTTTAGTTCCAAATGAGTATCATAGGCAGGAATACAGGAAGGAATAAGAAAGGAGAAGTTCTTCCAACAATTCATCAGGGAGGATTTCTTAATGGAAGGGAAAAACAGCTTTCCCCTCTCCCCCCAGTGCTGAGGATTGAACCCAGGACCTCACATGCATGCCAGACAAGTGCTCTACCACTGAGCTACATCCCTGACCCATGATTAGGGACAGACCCTCTTCCCAGCATTTGAAGGAAGAGGCAGGAAGATTCCAGAAGCCAGTGGTCCTTTAGTGACTGCCTCTCTGGTCTCAGGTAGAATCCTGTCTCTAGATTGAGGGTAACCTTTATTCTCACTGTTGTTTGGAAGGTTTCATTGCCAACCTGTCAGTGCAGCGGCAGTTCTTCCCCACTGATGAGGATGAGTCGGGAGCCGCCAAAGCCCTGATGAGACTTCAAGACACATACAAGCTAGACCCAGCCATGATTTCCAGAGGGGAATTTCCAGGTAACTCCCCACTCCAGGCTTTGTAGGTGTCTTTTCCATTAGCTGTACCAGCGTGCCACCGTTTCTGTTGCACTATTACTTCTATGGTAATCCTTGCTTAGATCCCCCTTTGGTGCCAGTCTCATTACCATAAAGGCCACTCCCCCTTATCTCCTGTCCTGCTTCCTTACCCCAGGTATTAGCCAAGGTCCTATCTTCTTGTGTGTCAGGGAAAGCCAAGGCTGCTACTGTGGAGCCCCCTTGCTGCTACTCCTAGAACATCAGAGATCCGTGGCTTCTACAGCCCACCCTTCTGTTTCTATCTAAGGATGATGTGCAAACTCACTATTTCTTGTCCTTCATCCAGTTCTCTATCAGTTTACACCCTTTTTCACTTGATGCCCACTTCTCTGAGCTTTCTCTTTGAGTCATGTGTAGGCTCTGTTCTTGCTCATCTCTCAAGCTACTCCCCCAGATCCAAGGTTCTTTTGCAACTCTGCTGCTGAAGTCAATCTCTTCTTTCTGTCCTAGTTAGGCCACTGGGTAGAGTGATTTACACTCTACTTTCCTGGTTCCCATATACTCCTGAAACCACAGTGCCTTTGTCTCTACTATCTACCAATTCTATTCTGACAAGGCCACCAGTGGGTAGATTTCAGGCATAATGTTCTTTAACTTAGCATTTCACACATCGATCTCTCCGTTTTGCCTAATATCTTCCTCTCCTTTGAGTTCTGCACTATCATTCTCTGCTACTTTTTGACCTCTCTGCTCTTTCATTTTTTTTCTTTTTCTCCCTCCTTTCCCACTGATAGTTCCAGTATTAGCCCAATAGCTGTTAGTGGAGTTTAGGGGAAACTGGTGCTTTCCAAAGGCTATTCAGGACTAATAAACCAGGGATTCAGTTGTACCCCATTAAACTTTCAATGTCATCTCATCTCTGGGGAGTCTAGAGGGATCTATAGTGCATGAATGCTTTCTTCATGTTTAGGTATTCTGTTACTGGCTTGTCAAGGCCTTAGACCTTGGTATGGAAGAGTCTGGTGAGCCAACAGGAACCCTTGTTCTTGCCTAAGTCAGGTCTTGCACCAAGTCTGACCATGAAGTCAGTTAAAGAAGGCAGCTCAGGGTACCTGCAACATCTATCTATTCAACCTGTACCTTTGGTTGGGAGGAGGGAGGAGCTAATCTTGACATTGATCTTTCACACTGATTAACAGTTCCTTGATTGTCTTGAATGGGGACAAAAGGGCAGAAGGGAGATTCTTTCTTGGACTCCATCTGAACACCTTTTCCAGGTAGACCAAATCATTTTCATCTCCTAGACCATTGCCTGTACACGGATGAAATCTTGTGGCTGTCTTGTCAGAGCATACCTCCCAAGTTCCATCCAGTGTAGGCAAATGCCTGTGGGACATCTCTACTTGCATCTTTCCATGGACGTCTCAAATTTCATGCATTCCAAATTGAAATTCTCACCCTTCATTTGAACTCTTTACCTTCCTCACTTGCCCCCATCAGCCAAAAGCACTTCTATCTATTGGCAGTGTCAGCCAGCATCTTTTTTTTTTTGGGGTGGGGGGTCTAGTTGTGGGGCCTGAACTCTGGGCCTGGATGCTGTCCCTCAGCTCTTCGCTCAAGGCTAGCACTCTACCACTTGAGCCACAGCACCACTTCTGGCTTTTTTCTTTTTTGCTTATGTGGTGCTGAGGAATCGAACCCAGGGCCTCAGGCATGCAAGGCAAGTGCTCTACCACCGAGCCACCTTCCCAGCCCCATCAGCCAGCATCTTAAGACACCAAGGCAACCTCCTTGGTGTCTTTTGCACTTCTCTGCTATATACTTCCCCCTCCCACTTCTTGATTATTAGAATACCGTTCTGACTTGTCTCATATCTCTAGCTCACTTAGTAAGACCCTCCTTTTCCACGTGATCTTGAATACACGTCTGTCCCCTCCCTCCCTCCCTCCCTCCCTCCCTCCCTCCCTCCCTCCCTTCCTTCCTTCCTTTCTTTTTTTGCCAGTCTTCAGGGCATGGACACTGTCCCTTGAGCTTCTTTTGCTCAAGGTTAGACTCTACCACTTGAGCCACAGCGCTACTCCCTGCCTCTGTTCTGGTTATGTGGTTCTGAGGAATTGAACCCAGGCTTCATGCATGCTAGGCAAGCACTTTGCCACTAAGCCATATTCCCAGCCCTCTATCCCCTTCTTGATTGCAATGTTTAACTTTCAGGGATAGCCCTAAACTCCTCCTATATGTAATCTTTGAGGTCCTGTTGCCTCCCTGGCTTTCTTGCCCATTGTTCTCACCTTCTGAATTGCTTAGCTCCTTTGTTCATCCTACTTGTTCTGCAGGAATGGCTTTATCCATGTCAGCTGGGTTGATCCATGTCTGATTACCCTTCAGCAGGAAGCTCAGCTGTTATCCTCTGGGGAGGAGACATTTTGAGTTGGCTTCTGGGGAGGATGCATGCTGAGTGTCTGAAAGCCATTCTTAACATTCTTGGCATCTGTGAGATATGTTGATAATAGCTACCAGTTATTAGCATTCCAAGGAGATATCTTTACGTTTCATCTCTTAGAATTCTTGCCCTCAGCCCTTTAAAACTGAAGCTTTTATTTCTATTTAGATAGATAATGAATAACATCTAGGTAGGCTAGGGACTGAGACTTAGGTGGCATTTAGAGTTATATTGAGGCCCACACAGATCCAGCTTTGTCCTGCTGCAGAGCCTAAGGGCTCACTGCCTCCATCAGGGCAGGTTCAAATGCCTGCAGAGTCAGAAGAGATCTGTGGAGATTCATGTGAGTGGAGAAAGGAACTCCATGAACCCCTTAGTTCTTGGCCTACTTAGGATTCCATCTTGTGTTTACTCTTCAACTTTCTATCCCATGTTGATTCCTGGACCACCTTGAGATACTGTCTCAAGGTATACATCCATGTACAGGCAAGAAGACCCTGAAGTGTGCAGCAGCTACCCTCCTGAAGTAGGGTTTTCCTCCTGGACAGATGATCTCAGGCATTGCTCATGTGCTAGCCATGCCCACGGCTATTAGTGGGGTCTGGGAGATACCAGTGCTTTCCAGTCAGGGTTTCAGCCTTCCTTGCTTTACATGGGATCTCATTATTCTCTGAGGAACACGCAATCCTTCCCATCTTGAGTCCCTCCTAATCCCTGTGACTCTAGCTGCTGCCGCCTCTAGGCCTGAAATTGTCCTCATAGTCACTTTGTAGTGTTCACTCAGCTCTCACAAGGCCTGCTGCTGAGCTGATGCTCACCAAGGGCCCTGCTACCTAGCGGCCAAAGTTGGCACTGCAGCCTTGGCTCTTGACCTCCCTTGGTGTCTGTCACACTGTGCCTGCTCTCTCTGCTTCTCCCTTTTAGTTTCTTTTCAGTGTTCCTCTCTGTCCTAGGTATATGCTTCCTATGGCTCCAGTCTCAGGCATGTTCTTCATTCTTTCGTCAGATGTTTCCTGCAAGTGACTATCCTCATCCATAGCCTTTACTGCCACCTTAATTCTTAAATTCACTAAATGTTTCTGCCCTTTAGGCTCATATGAGCAGCAACCCATTAAGCATCTTTTGTGTGGTCCTATGAGCCCAAATAATAGTTGGTGGTCTCCTAAATAATGATTGGTGGTCTTTCTGGGCTTCCTCATCCCAAACCCCTTTACCACTTGGAAGAAGGGGAATCTGCTATTAGGAGATAAGCTATAACCCTGTCCCTGGGCAAGACTGACTTATTTATCTGTGTTTACTGTATTAATGACACTTCATGATGTGTTGTATATAAGCCCTTGAAGGGTTCTTATTGGGTTATGCTTTCCTTGCAATAGCTTTGGCTTTTTCTTTTCTTCTCTCTCTCTCTCTCTCTCTCTCTCTTTTTTTGTCAGTCATGGGGCTTGAATTCTGGGCTTGGGCGCTGTCCTTGTGCTCTTCAGCTCAAGGTGAGCACTCTACTGCTTGAGCCACAGTGCCACTTCCAGTTTTCTAGTGCTTTATTGGAGATAAGAGTCTCATGGAGTTTCCTTCCTGGGCTGGCTTTGAACTGTGATCCTCAGATCTCAGCCTCCTGAGTAGCTAGGATTATAGGCGTGAGCCACCGGCACCCGGCTGGCTTTTTCTTAAAGTGTGATTTTTTTCCCCCTCAATAACCCAGAGGCTCTTTGGAGCTTGATGATTTGCTTCTCCTTCTGCAGGAACTAAATACCAGGCAGTACTCAGTGTGGATGACTGCTTTGGGATGGGCCGCTCAGCCTACAATGAAGGGGACTATTATCATACAGTATTGTGGATGGAACAGGTGCTAAAGCAACTTGATGCTGGAGAGGAGGCTACTATAGCCAAGTCCCAGGTGCTGGACTACCTTAGCTATGCTGTCTTCCAGTTGGGTGACCTGCACCGTGCCTTGGAGCTCACGCGCCGCCTGCTCTCCCTTGGTAAGGAGGTTAGGGAAGGTTAGTAGGGCTGGAAACCTGTGTCAGGAACAGTTCCAGAGGATATCTGAATTTCAGGGTTGCATCAGTGACAAACAGCAACCCCAGGTGTTAGTGTCCTGGCATCTAACAGTATGATTTGCCCATGGCATTGGTGCTTTGTCTGTCTTGTGATATAGGACTGAAGGAGGCCAAAAGTACCAAGCTTTTACAACCTGTCTGTTCTACCTTCTACAGATGCTCTTATCATCTGGAGTTTCACAAACTGGCAGATTTTACTTTGCCACTGCTTCCCATGAATCCCTGTCCAAGGTTCTTATTGGCTCACTTGGCAAAATCTCCAAGGTTTACTAAACTTGCAGGACACATCATATGCTAGCTGACTTCAGATGCAGGGCCCCATGGGAAGCAGTGGCTATATACCTCAACTTAAGTCACTTAACATTTGGGCCTCAGTTTCCTTATCTGAAGAGTAGCACAAAAATCTCACCATGCCTGCCTCTTTGCATGCTGTGGTTATTTCTCCTAGCATTAATTAATCTTCTAGCTATGTGGCCATTTGTGATATGGTCACAAGTAATGGCTACACTCTGGGAAATGTTTTTGTTGTTGTTGTTGTTGGTTGAGGGGCTTGAACTCTGGGCCTGGGCGCTGTCCCTCAGCTCTTCAGGTCAAGGCAAGCACTCTACCACTTGAGCCACAGTGCCACTTCCAGCTTTCTTTGTTTATGTGGTGCTGAGGAATTGAACCCAGGGCCTCATGCATGTGAGGCAAGCACTCTACTACTAAGCCACCTTCTCAGCCCATGGGGAATGGTTTTAAGTAGCAAAGTGGAAGCAAGATTCATGACTGCTTCTTTGGACTGGAACCTTAGAACCTGAAAAGAGGCCTGAGTTGGAAGCCTTCTCAGAGGCTAAGTTTCTCTTGCTTTGATGCTCCTTTCTTATCTCTAACCAAGATGGTGTCTTTTTTTGACTTTGGCCTCCACATTCAAGGTTAGGTGCTGTGGAATACAGAATGCAACATACAAATGAGCTACTATGAGAGAAACTGCTTACAGAATAATTTCCCTAAATGACTTTACAGATGTTTGTGGTTTCCTTTTCCTTCTTGTTCTTTGCTTTTTCTAGATCCGAGCCATGAGCGTGCTGGAGGGAATTTGCGGTACTTTGAGCGGCTGCTAGAGGAAGAAAGACAAAAACCACCATCAAATCAGACAGCATCTTCTCTAGCAACTCAGGAAGGTGTCTATGAGAGGCCTGTGGACTACCTGCCTGAGAGGGACGTGTATGAGAGCCTCTGTCGTGGGGAAGGTGTCAAATTGGTGAGACCTGGGAGGGAGCAGCCCACTTAGGCTGTGGATCTGGACACTGGCTCTGGACAGGCAGTGCAGGGAGGAAGTTCCTCCCTCTGTGGATTCTTTTTTTTTTTTCTTGGCATCTTCTTAATTCTTGGTGACATCCCTGAGGCTGACATAGGTATTCTTGGAGGTGTAGGGTGGAACACTCTTTCCCCTAATGGCCAGGTAGCATTTCTATCCTCCAAGTTACTAGTGTTTTTCCCTGCTTACCCCCATGTACTGAGCTTTGGTTTGACCCACTGGTATGAGCAAGAAAATGGGTGTGGATGCCTCAGGTCCCAAGGGAAAGTACAATGTATGGGGAGAGTAAGTCTCTGTGAAGCTTGGAGCTTGGTGTTGGTGTCCCTGGATTTTGAAAGCTCTGAAATACTATCACCTGCTCATGAGGACTCCCTTGTGAGGGATGTAATTGTCTTTTTAATGCCCACATGTTCTACCTCTAGAAAGGCTTCTCTGTTGTCCCCTTCAGACCTGTTTAAATCTCCATCAAAGAGGTCAGGAGTTGCCCTCTGCCATAGGATTTGTGCACATGAGATGACCTCGGAAGAGAAGGAAAAGTTGTCTGACATGTAGGGTGTCACTTCATGCTAGTCAAGCTGAGGGGCTTTGGCAGGGAGGGAGGGGGCAGCTGCTGGCTCTGGAGTGTAAGAGCTGTGTCCACAGACAGCTGGACTGGGACTAAGGGTTACAACTCACTCAGCTCAAGGCCTCTTGCTCTGTGCTTCCCAGACACCCAGGAGGCAGAAGAGGCTCTTCTGTAGGTACCATCATGGCAACAGGGTGCCACAGCTGCTCATCGCTCCTTTCAAAGAGGAAGACGAGTGGGACAGCCCACACATCGTCAGGTACTACGATGTGATGTCTGACGAGGAAATTGAGAGAATCAAGGAGCTCGCAAAACCTAAAGTACGTGTCTCTGTAGGTCCTTCTTGGGCACTGAAGGGGGCATATTCTCCCATCTCTGACATGGTGGGGCAGTTTGCTTACCTAGTTTGTCTTAGCAGTTTGTAGCATGAGTCTACTGATACACAGACAACTCAGCCTGAATTTGTGGATTCATGATCCAGAGAAGAAAACTGATGGAATGGGTATGGATGGTCAAGTGCTGTGATAGAAGGTAGTACTGGGCAGTGTGCCGCTCACAGCAAGACGTGTCAGATCACCTGCTTGGGGGTGGATGTGTGGGTGTGGGTGGACCTGAGGAAATGTGCCATAGAGTGCTGGGAAGAGGGGTCTTGGGGTGCTCCTGATTAGGACTCCAGTGATAGAGTTGACTTGGAAATTGTCAGCTTGAGGCAGGTGTACATTTGTATGACATTGAGTTTTCTCATACAGTCATGGGGCTTGAATTCTGGACCTGGGCACTGTCCCTTAGCTCTTCAGCTCAAGGCTAGCACTCTACCACTTGAGCCACAGCGCCACTTCCTGTTTTCTAGTGGTTCATTGGAGATAAGAGTCTCATGGACTTTCCTGCCTGGGCTGGCTTTGAACCACAATCCTCAGATCTTAGCCTCCTGAGTAGCTAGGATTACAGATGTAAGTCACTGGCACCCAGCCATTACTTATTCCTTGAGTCTTCATGTTTTTGTTCAGGCTGGCCTGAACCACCACTTTTCTATTTTTGCCTTCCAGGCATCTGAGATAACAGCTGGTTGAGATGGAGTCTAATAACTTTTTTTTTTTTCTGGTCTGGTTTTGAATTGTGATCTTTCCAGTGTGATCTTCTCTATCTCCTGAGGATTGGATTACAGGCATGAATCATGAGGTCCAGCCCTTTTCACTATATTTGAACTGGTTCCATTATTATGTAACTTAACAGTCTATAGTATTTGTTTACATGCTGAACATGAGTCAGTTCTGGCAAACCTTCAAGACGCTTATTTCTAATTACATAGCAAAAAACTAGAAATGGAGACATGGCTCAAGTGGTACAGTACCAGGTTGTGAATGGAAAAAGCCAAGCAAATGCAAGGCTCTGAATTCAAACCCTTTTATAGGCACAAACAAACAAGAAAAAGAAAATATCATACAATAATAGCTAGTGTTTATTGAGTTAAATGTGACAGGATCTGTCCTGTAGTTTAAACAAATATTAATGCGTGTGTTTATTAAGCAGACTGTGTCTCTGTTTTTGCTTTTCCTTTGAAAAATATTGACTTGTGCGGTCACAGATAGTGGTTGAAATTACTTACTACTTCTGTTTTCTTTTTGGCAGCACAGGGTTTGAACTCAGGGCCTTACATTTGGTAGGCGTGTGCTGGAACCATTTTTCCAGCCCTCCTTTTTGACTGTTAGCTGATTTTCTTGGGTTGTCCAGATAGTACTACCACCTGCAAATAAGGAGAATATCCTTCCTAGTACTTGAGTTCTTTTGTTTTTATTGTCTTATTGGATTGTATGGAACGTCTAGAGCATCAATACAATGGTTAGCTTTGTCTTCTGAATTTCCTGGAAATTCTTCTGGTATTTTGCTACTAAGTATACTTGGCTATTAGTTTTAATTATGTCATGTTCTAAATTTATTCTTTTATTTCTAGTTCATGAAAGGTTTGAGTCCACTTCACTTCTTTCAAAGAGAACTGCTTGCCTCCATTAACCCAGCTTTCTCCCAACACTGATAATTACGAGGAGGATTTAGTTGGATTGGTTATTGCTTTGTTCCTCATAGAATTGTAGCAGCTGAGGTGGTGAGGAGGCTGACGCTGGAGAGTGTTAGTCAGACTTTTCATTGCTGTGACAAAATGCCTGGCAGAAAGGAGGAAAGGTTTATTTTGGCTCATAGTTTCAGAGAGTTCAGTCCATCATGGCAGCCAAGGTACAGAAAGGGAGAGAGGAAGTGGGAGAGAGGGGGAGAAAGGGAGGCAGAGAGTGGATAAAAAGGAGAGGGAGAACGAGAGAGGGAGAGCAAGAGGAGGAGAAAAGGAAAGGGAGGAAGGAGGAGAGGGAAAGCTGGGGAGGAAAGGAGGGGGAGAAAAGGAGAGGGAAAGGGAAGGAAGGAGGAGGGGAGAGAGGACCCTTGAGCCTATATTATGGGCTTTATTCTTCTTCCCTTTTTATTTCCATTCAGGCTCCCAGACTATGGGATAGTGCTGCCCAGATTCAGGGCCAACTTTCCTCCCTTGGTTAATCCTCTTTGGAAATGTCCTCATAGACACACTTAGAGAAAAAAAATTTCCTGTCTTGAGGCTTGAACTCAAGATCTGAGCCTTTGTGCTCAAGGCCAGTATTGACCACTTGAACCACAGCCCCACTTCTGGCTTTCTTGGTAGTTAATTGGAGATAAGACTCTCATGGACTTTCCTTCCCTGGACTGGTTTTGAACCAGTATCCTCAGCTCTCAGCCTTCTGAGTAGATAGGATAACAGGTTTGAGCTACCGGCACCTGGCTGAGAAATGATTTCTTAATCTCCCAGTGAAGCTGGGCACTGGTGGTTCATGTCTATAACCCTAGCTATTCAGGAATCTGCGACCTGAGCATCATGGTTCAAAGCCAGACCAGGAAGGAAAGTCTGTGAGACTTTCCAATTAATCACCCCCAAATCACTGAAAGTAGAGCTGTGGCTCAAAGTGGTAGAGTTCTAGCCTTGAGCAAAAGAGCTCACTCAGGCCTTGAGTTCAAGTCCCATGACATATCAAAAAAAAAAATCTCTCAGTGAAATTGACAATCAAGATTAACCATCTCATAGAGGAACCTGAAACAGGTTTCTATCCTGGTCACTGGACCTCATCTTAGAAGCTAAGATGTTGGCTTCAGGTCCCAGAATATCTAGCATGTTGGTATCACAGAAGTACTTGTGAGTCTAGACAATGGGTGTAGAGAATGGCAACTAGAACCCACCTTTCAACTCCTGGGTCAACTCCAGAGTCTTCCAGGAAAAACAAATTTCCTGAGAGATTCCATACTTGTCCCTCAGTCCTAGACACTGAGAACATCATCTCTGTGTCTCTGTCTCCCTCCCCCATCTCTCTTCCTCTATATGTGTGTGTACGCATGCGTGCACATGTGTAGCTGGGGTGGGGAGGCGAGCTTTGGGAAAACTTATCTTTGAACAGGAGCCATGTGACAAGCCAAACATGTTCACCATCAGAAGCTGACCTCTCCTTTCCGGAGGCTCTGAGAGACAGATGCTATTTTGGCTTTGAAGTGGGGCCAATGAGCTTAACTTGGCCTCTGGGGAATGCCTGGCAGCTGCCTGTAGGTCCTCAGCCTGAAACCCGTTTTCAAACTAGTCCTGTGTGACTCAGGAGCAAAGCTCAGCTGCATGGAGTTTCTTAGGGGCACCAAGCCAGCTCTGTGTCTCAGATATTTGACAGTCTGGTTGTGGCTGCAGTTGTCATCAGGAGGGACTGACTTCAGCTGAGCTCAGGAAAGGCCACAGATAGGAAGACACCTGCCCCAGGCATGCTGACCACTTTAGAACATGTTAGCGCTGTTCAGAGTCTAGACAGTCTATTTTACCACCTGGTCAGATTTCTGGTTTGTCTGTTTCTCTCCATCTCTTCTGCCATCTTCTGGCCCAGGTCACTATCTTTTCTCTTGCCCTGAACTTCTGTTGTGGCATTCTTGCTAATCTTCTTTCTTACTTAGCTCCTCACAGAGATGTTTTCCACATCTAATTGTGAGTGTCTCTGCCCTGCACAATGCCTTCCATGCTTTTGGTCAGTATGTAGCCCTTACTGGCCTCTTCAGCCTAGTCTCACCTAACTGCTTCACATAAACCTATAATCCACAGTCAAGGCTGTACTCTTCTTCCTTCCTGGGCCTCTCTATTGTGATTCTTTGCCTATTCCTGTGATATTGAGGTTTCAGCTAAGTAGTCTTTAGGAAACCATTTGTGACCTTTTGGCTGAGCTCCCACAGAACATTGAGCTTATTCATGCTCTGTTGTAGTCCCCTGGCTGGTTTTATGCCTTCTCCATTGGACTGAGTTGCATGAGGGTATGAGACATACCTTAGCCACCCAACGTAGTTCTAAGCACTTACCAATTACTTATTAAAATTAAGGGGAAGTGCCATTGAAATAAGGGTATCCAGGCCTGTGACTCTACCCATAGCTGTAGCACAATGCACTTTGGTTATGGTAGCTGGCCCCAAGTAGTAGGTGAGATGAAGCAGAGGAGGGGGTGTGTATTATATGTAAGTGTGTACATGGGGGGCATGGTTTGCTTTCAGGTAGCGTTCTGGTTTTATCATCTGACTTTGTGAGGCTCCCAAGGGAGAAACTATACCATCTATCTTTCCTGCTCTCAGCACTGGGAGCCCAGTGTGAGACAGTTCAGCAAATCAGTGTTTGAAAGGGTTTACTGGCAAAGGAGACCATTTATAATAGCAGAATTTGACCAAGTCAAGAGAACTATACAAGCTATAGCTCAGAGATGGTATCACGGTTTGAATGTGGTAGGAACTCATGTTGTGCTTAGACAGGAGTGGGGTATGGGTCTGGTAAGGAAGCAGGCAGTTCAGGCAGATTCAGGGACAGACCAAGCAGAATGATAGTGTTCAAGCAGAGAAATGGCCAGGTTCTGATATCACAGAGGTAATGTTGGGAGCCTTGGACTCCTCTTTTGGCTTTGCCTACAGGATCATGGACCCTTGACTAGAGCCACTGCCCACAAAACTGCTTCCTCTACTAATGCAACAGCATGTCTTGCTCAAGTGCTTTCTGGGAAAACACAAAAGGCCCCAAAGAATAAATCTGCCCTTCTTTCTGATTTCCAGCTTGCACGAGCCACTGTTCGTGATCCCAAGACAGGTGTCCTCACTGTCGCCAGCTACAGAGTTTCCAAAAGGTAAGCAGAGATGGTGGAGGTAGACTAGCCGCCCAACACCCAACTCTAGAGCTCCTTTGGTAAAGTAGGGTGGCATGGCTTCTCCTGCCTGCTAGCACCTCCTATGAATGCTAGTATTGGCTCCCAGGGAGCACAGCCGTGACCTAAACCTACCCCTGCTCCCATTATCTTTGCTCTTTTTTTTTTCCCCCAGCTCCTGGCTGGAGGAGGATGATGATCCTGTTGTGGCTCGATTAAATCGTCGGATGCAGCACATCACAGGGCTAACAGTAAAGACTGCAGAACTATTGCAGGTACAACTGATCCTTGGGAACATAGGAACTAGGAAAGAGTCTGTCTTCCCATGGTGCTCAGACTGGGTTTACTCTTCGAGCTCTTGTTAAGTTTCCTATAGACCTTTGGGAAGAAAAAAGGCAGTTACGAATTGAATAAGGGCCTTTTTGATAGAAGAGGAGATGCTGTACCTCCCCAAATCCTCTAAGATTCAAGACTTCTGGCTTGAACTTCAGCCTTCTAGAATAGTGATTTCTAGGACTGGGAGTGTGGCTTAGTGGTAGAGTGCTTGCCTAGCATGCATGAAGCCCGGTTCGATTCCACAGTATCACATACACAGAAAAAGCCAGAAGTGATGCTATGGCTCAAGTGGTATAGAGTGCTATCCTTGAGCAAAAAGAATCTCAAGGACAGTGCCCAGGCCTTGAGTGCAAGCCCCAGGACTGGTTAAAAAAAATAGAAGAGTGTTTCCTAGTCTTTTGTTTTTGTTTTACCTTCACTCTGGCCTCAGCATCATATATACTCCTGTCTTTTTTTTTTTTTACAGCAACAAGCCTGAAGATTCTAATGAATATCTCTTTTTAGGACAGTTTTAGGTACAATTGCTTGTTATTAAGTTTATGACTTGATTATGCTAGGGTGGTAGATCTGATTGCTGCAAAAGCTTCCATGATTTTTGTGTTTATTTGAGACAGCGAAAGAATGTAGAAGTTATGATCATATATGACTAATTCTTGAAGCTATTAAACAATGAGCCAGCTATAATGGTGCACCTTCTTTGACTCCGTCCAAAGAATGGAAGTGTTGGAGAGTGCCAGTCTCGACACAAGCCACAGTGATTAGACTTTCTGGAGTACCTTGACACAGTAGACACATTCATGTCTAGAATTTTACTTCAAGTTCTTGACTAGTCTGGAACCAAAGAAATATCCATGAAATATCCAAAGAAATATCCATGAAAGCATTTGTGACAGCACTTGATTAGCTGCTTGATCTGGCCATTCTCTCCTTAGCTGCATCCCAGACCTCAGGGTCACCTGCTATACCAGTCCTCCTTGGGCTGTTGACTGGATTTCAGATGTTTCTGGTGCAGGAAAACTAAAGCTGCAGATAATAGCATTTTTTTTTCTTTTTTTTTTTTTTTTTGTCAGTCATGGGCCTGAACTCTGGGCCTGGGTGCTATCCCTCAGCTCTTCAGCTTAAGGGTAGTGCTCGACCACTTGAGCTACAGCACCACTTCTGGCTTTTTCTGCTTATGTGGTGCTGAGGAATTGAACCCAGGGCTTCATGCATGCAAGACAAACACTCTACCACTGAGCCACCTTCCCAGCCCCATAATAGCATATTTTTATTCACTAATTCTTCATATCAAAATATTTATTTGTAGACACTGAAAAGTATACTGTCTAAATTTTGCATTTTGTTGTATTCAGCCAATACTGTTTGAGTTCTCACAAGAGAATTTCCTCTCCTGAAGTCCACTGTCTCTTTTACTGCCATGTTTAAAAGTCTCCACTTTTGGCAGTTTTGCAATGTCTTTTTATAACTGTTTGAGTTATGAAAAAGGATATATGAATATAGCTTTCTTAGAACCAGTGCTGAATCCAAAAGGTTTTCAGGGTTCTAGTAAAATACAGAAGCCAGTTCTTTCTGGATAGACACTGATGGTGCCACTAGGTCTATCAGCTTCCATGTCAGATTTTGTATTTTGTCTTAAACTCTATCTCAAATTGTATCTGCTTATCAGCTGTGTCATTTTAGGATGATATATTGTGTAGGCATTTACTTTTTCTTTGCTGGTCATGGGGCTTGAACCCTAGGCCTGGATGCTTCCCCTGGGCTCCTTTTTGCTCAAGACTAGGGCTCTACCACTTGATCCACAGTACAACCTCCAGTTTTCAGGTGGTTAATTGGAGATAAGAGTCTCGAGGACTTTCTTGCCAGCAGGCTGGCTTTGAACTGATATCTTCAGATAACAGCCTCCTGAGTAGCTAGGACTATAGACATGAGTCAACCGGTGCCCCAACTGGCATTTACATTTTTAAAGGTTTTATTATTAGCATGTATTGGTTATACAAGGGGAGCATTTCACTGTGACATTTACATCCATACATTCAGTTTTCAGTTGAGTTAATGATACTTAGTATTTGCTGTGGCTCAAGTCTTACTGCATGACCCGGTTTACTCTGGGGTGATGTTCCAGTTCTTAGCTACCTACAGCCTGTCCCCTGTGTTCCTGCCTCATGTGGATACTAAAGTATTCCATGCAGCAGACTATTGTGGAATGTTTGCCTTACTCAGTCTGACTTAGAATAGCCACTGGGAAAGAACAAGAGCAGTGCCTGCTGCTTTGCAGGTCTAAATCTAGTGTTAAAGAGGAGAAACCTAAAGCCAGGTATGGTGGCATGAACTGTAGTTCCACTACTACTAGGATTGCTTGAATTTAGGAATTGTAGGCTAGGGACATAACAATGCTGTCTCTTTTTTTTTTTTTTTTTGGGTCCGGTCCTGGGGCCTGAACTCTGGGCCTGGGCGCTGTCCCTCAGCTCTTCAGCTCAAGGCTAGCACTCTACCACTTGAGCCACAGCACCACTTCCGGCTTTTTTCTTTTTGCTTATGTGGTGCTGAGGAATCGAACCCAGGGTCTCATGCATGCAAGGCAAGCGCTCTACCGCTGAGCCAACTTCCCAGCCCACAATGCTGTCTCTTAAAAAAACCAAACAAACAAAAAAACAAGAACAAGGGGATGGGCATGTGGCTTAATGGTAGAGTATTGGCCTAGCATGTAGAAGCCCTTGGTTCAATTCCTCAGTACCAAATAAAGAGAAAATGCCAGAAGTGGCACTGTGGCTCAAGTGGCAGAGTGCTAGCCTTGAGCAAAAAGAAGCCCAGGGACAGTGCTCAGACCCCAACTGGCAAAACAAAAACACATAAAAACTAACCAAACAAACCATCAAAAAACCAAGAACAAATCTGTCCTGAGTTGGTTGTTGGCTTTCTTCTGGATCACATACATTCTCATTGTCTCCCACACAAGGCCAAGGCCAGGGCCTGCTTCAGGAAGGGTCTCCTCTGCTGCCTTATGCCTGTCCTTGCAGGGCCAGAGCTCCTCTACAGTGACCCTCTGGGTATCCTCTGTCTGGTTCTTTTTGGGAAACCATGATTGTGTTAGTCCTAGACCCAACGATGAGCATATTCATACTTGTTCTACCTGTGTTGGCAGGACATGTTTAGAGAGGCTGCTTTTGGAGTTTCTGGTAGTTTTTAGGCCTAGAGAGATGACATTCCTGGAAAGATAGGCTGCTCTAGGGCTATTGGTGCTGCTTACAAGATCCAATGCTTTTATTTTTTCACCAGGTTGCAAATTACGGAATGGGAGGACAGTATGAACCACACTTTGACTTCTCTCGGGTAAGGCCTAAATCACAGATACTTCCAATGGGCCCCACTTTGGCTGATTTGAGAAGGAGCACTTCAGCCTCTGCATTACCTTGTTCCCATCTCCCACCTTACCAGGAAAACTTTGTTACTAATGAAGCCTATATCTGGAATCACAGGATTTGCTGAGTCTAATGGAGCCTGGCTGTTCCCTATAGATATAGGGAGTGTTACCCTAGCCCTAAACTTGTGGTTCTTTCCCCTGATTCTAAAGCAAAATACTTCACTAGGTCTTGTTCATATTTCTTTTCCCCTATGCCATGCTGGGACCAGTGTTTCCTCTGTGGCTATGGCCTATTTTCCAGGCTATTTAATGGAATGTATATTTACTGCCTTCCCTTGACCATTTTGACCCCAGTCCTTTGGGTGGTGGGTAAGTTGGTTGCAAACTTGGGTGAAAGTTGTTGTCTATTGCAGCGACCTTTTGACAGCGGCCTCAAAACGGAGGGAAATAGGTTAGCGACGTTTCTTAACTATGTAAGTATTGGGTCCAGGCCCACTCCTTTACTCTCATTAATTTTGTAGAGCGATGAGCAAGATGTTTTCAAGCAGTTAGGGACTGGGAATCGTGTGGCCACATTCTTAAACTACGTGAGTATGATGTATGCAGTTTATGGGCCCTAAGGGGGCTGTGGGTCCAGAGGGCTCTCCTATCCCACTCCCATCAAGGCTGGTACTACCAGTTGAATAATGATCCTTCTGTTCCTAAGTGCCTTTCTTGGCTAGACTAGAGAGGGCTTACTTTTGTTCTTATCTAGTCTCTCCCTCTGCTAGAGATATTATTATCCCTGGCTCCTTCCCCCCCTCCCCCCAAACATTTTTTTTCGTGTGTGTGTGTGTGTGTGTGTGTGTGTGTGTGTGTGTGTGTGTGTGTGTGTCTGGGTGTCTGGGTGTCTGGAGTTTAAACCCAGGACTTTATGTTTATGAAGCTGATGATTTACCACTTGAGCTGCATACTTCTCAGCACCCTCAAAGTTTTCTTTTTTTAATTGTGGTAAAATATACATAACTAAAATTTACAACCTTAACCATTTTTAACTGTACTTCAGTGATATTAATTACATTCCTAATGTGGTATCACCACTGTCCATTACCATAACTCTTCTTGTAAAATTAAACCTTGTTAAAAAAAAATCTCAGATCAAGCCGGGCGCTGGTGGCTCACGCCTGTAATCCTAGCTACTCAGGAGGCTGAGAGCTGAGGATCACAGTTCAAAGCCAGCCTGGGCAGGAAAGACCGTGAGACTCCTATCTCCAATAAACCACCAGAAAACCAGAAGTGGTGCTGAAGCTCAAGTGGTAGAGCGCTCGCCTTGAGCTGAAGAGCTGAGGGACAGCGCCCAGGCCTAGAGTTTAAGCCCCGTGACCAAAAAAAAAAAAAAAAAATCCCAGATTCCCCTTTGCTGGTCTGTGGCAGCCACCATCCTACTTTTTGTCACTATGATTTTGATCACGTAACCACATGTAAATGGAATCACTGAGTATTTTCCTTCTGTTGGCTGGCTTATTACACCTAATGCAATGTCTTCAAGATTTTTCTGTTGTAAGCTTATTCTGCCTGCTTTTTGGTGGGCACAGTACTACTTGGGCTTTTGGGAAGAATGCCCTGGGGGTTCTCTTCTAGCAACAGAGTGAGGAGGAAGTTATGAGATGCTCTTAGATGGGAGCTGCCTTTGTTTCCCAAGAGACTAAATAGCCTGCTTCCCACTTGCTGCCTTTGCTCTGTCCATAGAACTTTTCCTTCACAGAGAAACAGTTTGCCTTTTCTGAAAGGTGAGGGCCTGCTCTAGAGTTGTAAAGTGGTAATGGGAATGTGGCTCAGTGATAGAGTGCTTGCCTAGCATGCATGAAGCCCTGGGCTCCATTTCTCAGTGCCATATACACAGAAAAAGCTGGAAGAGGCGCTGTGGCCCAAGTGGTAGAGTGCTAGCCTTGAACAAAAGAAGCTCAGGGACAATGCTGAGTCCTTGAGTTCAAGCCCCAGGACTGGCAAAAAAAAAAAAGTCATAAAGTCTGTCAAGGAACTTAAAGACAGAAGTTCATTTTTTCCTTTACAGTTTTAATTGTGTGGTTATTGCTGTCAATATGCTGGTTAACAGAACATACATTGTCTCTTTTAGGATACTTGAGGTCTAACATGAGAGACTTTTAAATAAACACAGGGGAAATTATTATTTAGTTACCAGGGAGACAAACACTGTGAAAAAGTAGCCCAAGCATGGGTTCAGAGAAGGCCTCCCTTAGAAGAAACATGTTTGAGACTTGAGGTTGAGTGGAAATTAGCTGGTGGGAGGTGTTTCTGGCAGAGAAAAGAGTATGTGTAAGCCTGGAAGAGAGAAGGGACTTGAGATGTTGGAAAAGGAGAAAAAGACTAGTGTCTCCAGAGGGAGAGGCTGGTAAGACTGGCAGGAGTGGGGGTTTCCCTGGATTTGATTCCCAGGGCTGGGGAAGCTGTAGGAGTTTTTCCTCTTATTCATTTATCTTGAGTCTGTTGAATACCCTTTAGTTAGTCTGCTATGTGTCCTGTGGAAATATTTTTTAGCTCCAATGTTCATTATAGTATAGGCCAAAATCTTAAGAGAAAAGCCAAAGGAAAAAGAAGTGGTGCTTTGGTATTTGTGGAGGTGTCCTGAGGGCATGAGTGCAGGCTGGCTGCTACATATCTTGTGTTCAGTTTAGTTTCATGCCTCTCTGGGAGAGAGGACTGAAAGACCTGACATGCAGCAGAGAGAGCCTCCACACGGTCAGAGCAGGGTGATCTGTACAGTACATCTGTATGTGTTCTTTGTGGCATAGTTGCTCTAAGCAACTTAAGTAGGGAAGTCAAGCTCTGTACCTCTGTAGAGCCTCTAAGACATAGAATCCCAATTGTTCACCCAGAACATAACTTCTGGGAACATGTGGGTTGAACTAGAGAGCTGCAAGTGGCTAGAGCCCCCACCAGGCAAAGAGGACACACTTGGGATTGGAGCCTGTAGGGAGCTCAGGGTCGCACAGCAGCTGAGACAAGGTCCAGGCTAGATGAGGATTCAAGGCATGGGTGCTAGGATGGGCACTTTTTGACTTTCAAGGACAGCCTGGATGTGGGTCTCCTGAGGGCCTCAGCTCTTGAATATGGAGATTGTCCACACAGATTCAGCAGGTGTAGGAAACTGGGCATGAAGTAAGAGTCTCCAAGCAGGCCCATACATGCTCAGGACAGGGTGATCAGAACACCTCCGCATGCTCTTTGTGGCTTAGTTGCCCTTCTTGGAGAGAGGAGCCAAGCTCTGTACCTTATATTCCCAGATGAGTGATGTAGAAGCTGGTGGTGCCACTGTCTTCCCGGATCTGGGGGCTGCGATTTGGCCTAAGAAGGTAAGTCTTTTTTGTGGGTGAGAAGTTGAAACAGAGCTCAGGCATATTCATGACTGCTAGTCTTGTTGCTTGGCCCATTTGAATATGTCTGTAATTATGTCTTAGCCTCTTCCTACCCATATTGTAGACTTGTGGTCCCAGTTTCTACTTGGGAAGGGAAGTCCCTTCAGGGACAAGTAGGTTTCTAAACTTTGACCCCATGATGTAGGGAAGGTGCTTTCTGGGAAACTTAACTAAGTTTTGTTGGAGTCCCAGAGCCCTGACCCCCATACATAGAAAATAGGGAGTTTCTGCTCAGCACAAGGGTTCTGTGGTGTTTAGAGTCAGGTCCCTATGCCTTATCTCTTTCAAAATGTGTTCTAACAGGCCACCTTTTTCCCAGGGCACAGCTGTATTCTGGTATAACCTTCTACGGAGTGGGGAAGGTGACTACCGAACAAGACACGCAGCCTGCCCTGTGCTTGTGGGCTGCAAATGGGGTGAGTGGCTTGAGGGACGGTGCTTATGGTAGCCTCAGCCTGGGATTTGATACTTGGCTTTATACTCAGAGCTGGCAGACGACTGTTGCCAAATTTTGACACAGTCAAAGATGTTTCCATCTGAAGTTGTTTTTTTCTCCTGCTCACCGGTAGTACCATTCAGTCAGGTACCAGTCTACTTAAACTGGTTAAGTTCCAAAATTGCTACTTGGCAACACTCAAATGCCTAGAGAGCTGAGAAAGCCCTGAGCTGCATAAACACGGTAGGTCCAAGATGCTCTTCCAGAAGAGTGCGTTATAGCAACGAAGGGTTCCTACTTCTTGCACCTCCCTTGATGTCGGAATCATTAATTGTGCTGGTCTTCTTCCCAAGGCAACAGCTGTTCTACTTCACATTCCAGCTCTAAGATCTCTTTTTTCTCTTACATTGTCAGATACCTTTGGGCTCTGTTCCCATGACAACATGCACACATACATTATGAAACTGGTAGAATTTCATAGTTATTGGTGTGCTCATCTGTCTTTCTCAAGAGCTCATGAGCAACTTAAAGCCCAGGAGAGTGCTTATTTGGGTCTCATTCCAGACAGTATAGGAAACATGGGGAAGGCATTGATTTTGGCTGGTGAACCAATGGAATTGTAACATATTTTCTTTCTTTTCACAGTCTCCAATAAGTGGTTCCATGAACGAGGACAGGAATTCTTGAGGCCTTGTGGATCAACAGAAGTTGACTGATGTCCTTTTCTGCCATTTCCCTTCCTGGCCCTACAGCCCAAGTCATTGTCAAGTTCAGCATGACAGACACCTTTATAAGTTCCAGCTCCTATCAGGCAGGTCTTTGGAGGAGTCAATGTTTGACTGAAGTGGAGAGTGTACTGGGACAAGTCCTGGGTGACCTGGGTGCCAGTCTCTGCCATCATACTATGCTGTCTCTGATTCCAAGGATAACATCAGAGTGATTGCAGCAGAGCCAGACTATCTAGCACTAATAGGGTGCCTTTGTACCTCAGATGTTTTAGGTGTGAGACGTTTCAGTGAACCAAAGTTTTGATACCTTGTTTACATGTTTGTTTTTATGGAATTTCTATCAGTTGTGGCTTTAACCAAAAAAAAATAAAATGTCCTTGTCAGAAGCCTTATTTGGAGTTGTTGGGGTTTTTTTGTTTGTTTGTTTTTGTTTTTTTTTGCGTTTTTTTTTAAAGACCAGGAGGTTTTTTGTTTGCTTTTTTTTTTTTTTTAAACCACATTCACCATTTCATATGCATCCCCTCTGTACAGGTAGAGTCAGTGAGTTCTTTAGCAGTGCCACAGTAGCATTGGGTTCTAGGCCTGGTTTCAACGCTTGTATGTGCTCCAAGCTTCAATGTTCTTTTCTGACAAGTAAATAAATAGTCTCTCCTTGTCTTTCAGAGAATGTAGAGAGCATCCATGTTCATGATTGGGAATCTTAATTATTTGAAATGTCTTTATTTTAATATCTTAGCTCAATTTCACTCTTCTTAACTTTCTTTGCAATAAAAAGAAACATTTAGAAAAAAAGTAAAGCAGAGAAAGATTTCAAGATTTGAAAAGCTATTTTCTATTACAGGTTAACGATGCCTTAAAAAGATTCTGTTAGTAGGGGCTGGGAAGGTGGCTCAGTGGTAGAGTGCTTGCCTTGCATGCCTGAGGCCCTGGGTTCGATTCCTCAGCACCACATAAGCAAAAAGAAAAAAGCTGGAAGTGGTGCTGTGGCTCAAGTGGTAGAGTGCTAGCCTTGAGCTGAAGAGCTGAGGGACAGCACCCAGGCCCAGAGTTCAGGCCCCATGACCGGACCCCAAAAAAAAAAAAAAAAAAAAGATTCTATTAGTAGATGAATTCATAAACAAAATGTAGTACCTACACCTAATGAAGCATCATTCATTATTTACAAAGGGAGGGAATAGTATCATATGTGACTATTAGGATGAATCTTTCCTTTTATTTTGATGATGTATGTATGAAATTTTATTTATACTCGTTTATTAATCTTGAATATAACATCCATCATATAATCAGCCTGTTAATAAAAAGAATAGCTATTTCAAAAAATTATTTAAAGGCAAAGTATTTCTATTTCTGAATTGCATATAGTTCATATAGTTTTTTTATATTTAAATGTATATTATTTTCCCTTTTTTGGTGGGGGAGGGGTTGGTCGTGGGTCTGAACTCTGGGTCTGGGCGCTGTCCCTCAGCTTTTCATTTCAAGGCTAGTGCTCTACCACTTGAGCCACAGTACTACTTGCAGCTTTTTCTGCTTATGTGGTGCTGAAGAATTGAACTCAGGGCCTCATGCATGCAAGGCAAGCACTCTACCACTGAGCCACCTTCCCAGTCCAGGAATACTATTTTCTGCAAATGTATGTCTGAATTCTTTTATCTAAGATCAGAGATTAGCATCTTTGATTTATTCAATAAATGTGACATATAGGTATTATATTAAAAGTTGTATATCATAATTAATGGAAGCATTAATCAATTATAAATAACCCAAAACAATGCAAACATTGAATGGATCTTGTTTTTTGATCAAATCTGCTGTTCTTTGTCCTTTGATTGGGGAATTGAGTCCATTAATGTTTAGGGTTATGATGTTTCCTGTCATTTTCTTGATTACGTATATTTTGTTTCTTTTCTCTTGCTGTGTTTACTAAATTAGTTTCCTATTGATTTTTGTCGATGTGTTTCTTTGATTTTGGTGGTTCTCTTCAGATTGTATTTCTCCCTTTAGTATTCTCTGTAATGCTGGTTTAGTGATCATGAACTCTAATTTTTGTCATGCAAGGTTTTAGTGTCAATATCTAAAGTAAATGATAGCTTCACTAGGTAGATCAGTTTGGGTTGGCAGCTGTTGATCTTCAGGGCTTGGATTGTATCATTTCAGGCTCTCCTTGGATTGAGGGTTTGTGTGGAGAGGTCTGCAGCGATTCTGACTTTCTTTCCATTGTAATATAGCTCCTTTGATTTTGTGGCATTTAAAATCAGTTCCTTGCTATTCAAGGCTAATGTTTTTACTATGATGTGTCTAGAAGTGTTTCTTCTTGGATCCAGTCTTGGTTCTGTTAGGTAACATTTTCTCTCTTCAGAATGGGTAAGTTCTTAATTTAAAAATTGGAGATGTACACAGAATTGTGTATGTCTAGTACACATGAACATAAGGTGAACCAGGAAGCACTGTGCTGCCATCATGACTTCCAGTCAGTACCCAAGGAGCTGTTCAGGATACCTTCACGGATCACATTTTTCCTGTCCCTGACACCTTGGGTGGTAACCATCCTCTGGTAATCTGTGGTAACTGGTACTTTGCTTGACTTGGGAGTTTTACTGTTTGTGATTTGATCACTAAATCTAGTTATTTCATTTTTTTAAATTGATTTTGAGCTTTTTTGTGTCGGTTGTGGGGCTTGAACTCTCGGCTTGGGCACTGTCCCTCAGCTCTTCAGCTCAAGGCCAGCGCTCTACCACTTAAGCCACAGTGCCACTTCTGGTTTTCTGAGTGTTTTATTGGAGATAAGAGTCTCACAGACTTTCTTGCCCAGGCTGGCTTTGAACCATGATGCTTAGATCTCAGGCTCCAGAGTAGCTAGGATTATAGGCGTGAGCTACCAGTGCCTGGCTAAGCTTTTTCTAATGGAATCAGATTACTTTTTGCATTTTGATTCCTTAATTAAGCATAGTTTTTAAGGTTTATTTGTATTATTGTATAGTTTAATTTTTACAGTTTGTTTGCTTAATGGTAGGACTATACCATTAATACAGCTAATATATTGTTGATGTAAAATCCCTGGGGATTTTTCTTTAATTTTTCTCTATGTTTTTTCTTGGATCAGTGAATCAGTTACTTAAAAATTCTTGTAGGATAATTCCATGATTTAGATTCTCTGTGGCTCCCTTGTTTACTGGGACATTTGGTCTATCATTAATATTTTTTGACCAAATGCTAAATATCATCTATGACATATTATAGAGGCTCTCGATGATCTTAACCTTCTCCACAAAGGGTTCATACCTCCCTCTGCTAGGCAGAGTGGATCTTAATCTCTTCAGCCCTGAGCTGACTTAATTAAGGCTGGTTTGCAGATTCTGTTAAGACTACTCCTAGTTTACCTTTATTGTTTCCTTCCTGCAGGATGTAGGAATCTTCCTACAGAGAGTTTTCAATAAGAACCTACAGTGTTCATTCAAACAGTACCCACTGTCGGATCCTCAAGGCTAATACTGTATCCTCGGTATCTAGATTCTGTCTCCCAAATTTGCTCTCCTTTTCAAAGAATTTGGATTTTCTAATTTAAGCCAAATATTTTTCTTATTAGTGTCTTCTTATTCTACCCAGCTTCAGAATGCCCTCTTCCTATTCAATACCCTGACAAACCACAGACTTCTTTTTAGTGTTTCAGTGCCCTTTAATACTTCCAAGAGCTCTGATTTCTCTGCCTCTTAGCAGTTGCACATTACTTTGGATCCTCATCCTTACCTCATGTCTAGGATCAGCAAATGAATTATGGATTTTTGGTTCATTAATACAGAATTCATCCTTCTTCATGATGGTGAAACTCACCCCCTTTTCTATTTTACCGAATCATCAATTCCTTCATATGATTTGTGTGTGTGTGTGTGTGTGTGTGTGTGTGTGTGTGTGCGCGCGCTGGTCCTGGGACTTGAACTCAGGGCCTGCTCACTATCCCTGAGCTGCTTTTGCTCAAGGCTAGCACTCTACCACTTGAGCCACTTCTGGCTTTTTGCTAATTTATTTGAGGTAAGAGTCTCACAGACTTTCCTGTCCAGAATGGCTTCAATCATTTTCCTCAGGATCTCAGCCTTCTGAGTAGTTAAGGTTACAGGTATGAGCCACTGGTGCTTAGATCCTTCACATTATTTTTAAGAGATAGCTTTCTGTTTGTTGTGTTTTGTGGGGACTTGTTTTCTGCATAACAGTTGGTCTACAAAAGCTATCTTATGCTGTTACGCTGGGCAGTTCGTAGATCACACCTGTAATCCTAGCTACTCAGGAGGCTGAGATCTGAGGATCATGGTTCAAAGCCAGCCTGGGCAGGAAGAGTCCATGAGATTCTTATCTCAATTAACCCCCATAAAGCCAGAGTGGAGGTGTGGCTCAAGTGGTAGAGCCTTGAGCAAAAGAGTTGAAGGACAGTGCCAAGGCCCTGAATTCAAGCCTCAGGACTGGCACAAAAAAATAAAAATATATACAAATGGTTCAAGAAGGACAAATAAGTTGGGTATGGGAGTTTAAGCTTGTAGTTTAGCTACTTGGTAGATTGTGATTGGGGATTGAGGTTCAAGGCCAGCCTAGCATAAAAGTTCACAGATCTTCATCTCACCCAATGGCTAGGTGTGGTGGCATACCTGTTATTCTAGCTACAGGAGAAGCACTACAGTTGGGCACACTGGGAAGCACAAGTAGGAAGATTGCTACCCAGGCTATTCTGAGTATAAAGCAAGACTCTACTTTAAAAATAAGCAATGGGCCGGCCATCTGTGGCTCATGCCTGTAATCCTACATACTAAAGAGGCTGAGATCTGAGGGTTGTGGTTCAAAACTAGTCCGGGCAGGAAAGTCCATGAGACTCTCTCTCTCTTTTTTTTTTTTCCCCGGTCATGGGGCTTGAACTTTGGGCCTGAGTGCTGTCCCTCAGCTCTTCAGCTCAAGGCTAGCACTCTACTACTTGAGCTACAGCACCACTTCCAGTTTTCTGGTGGTTTATTGGAGATAAGAATTTTACTGACTTTCCTGCCTGGGCTGGCTTTGAACCGGGATCCTCAGATCTCAGCCTCCTGAGTAGCTAGGATTACAGGAGTGAGCCACCGGCGCCCGGCTTCCGTGAGACTCTTATCTCCAATGAACCACCAGAAAACTGGAAGTGGTGCTGTGGCTCAAGTAGTAGAGTATTCCCCTTGAGCTGAAGCTGCTGAGAGACAGCGCCCAGGCTGAGTTCAAGCCCATAACTGTCAACCTCCCCCCACCCCAACCCTTTCCCTCAAAAAAGCAATGGGACTAGGAATGTGGCTTAGTGGTAGAGTGCTAGCATAGGTGAAACCCTGGGTTCGATTCCTCAGTATCACATAAATAGAATATGCCAGAAGTGACTCTGTGGCTCAAG